TTATTACAACTGAAGCAACACAAACTATCTTATTACAACCTGATGCAACACAAACTATCTTATTACAACCTGATGCAACACAAACCATCTTACTATGAAACAAGTTGTTTTCTATGTCTCAAACTGATCAGAGTGAAAAAAAGAAACACTTACTTGCTACACAAGCGACGACTACAGCGCACCAAAACGTGCATGCAGTGTATACAGAGCAGCCCCATCAGTGGAATACCTAATGTTCCTACCTGTGAAATAAACTTAAACATTTATGCTCTTACTGTAGTTAATAGAAGATATATAACAGTTCCCTTTATAGTGCTATTATTTAAGTTACTTTAATTATTGTCATATTTACCATTGCTGTTACTTCCAAGTCACATTATTGTTATTGGTCTTTCTATAATCTTTTTGGATATTACAAAAGGTTTAACTATTTATTACTCCCTGTTCCATATTGTTTTGGTAGGCAAGAGAGGTTATTTAAAGTGAAATCAGTCGTGTTAGACACACCTCATAGTACGATTATATACAAAACAATCAGGATTTTAAATTAAATATTCTTTACTAAAGATTTGTCAGGGAATTTACAAAGCCTTTATCTTTATTGAGATGGTCCGATTCAGAATCTGATTAGTCTTACTGCAAGGTAATTTTCATGTTAAGAATACTTTTTTCATCTTACTGTTCATCTTACATAACCTCTAGAACCTTGTAAATGAATATCAAAAGTTTTTCTTCAGTACAACTTGATACTTTATCTCATAGTTTTCTCTATCCTAACACTAACTGTAGGAAAAGCATTGAGGCACAGTGAAATGAAAACTTAAAAAATATGAAATAAACTGGAAGTTACCTTTTATTTCTTCTTTAGATGATTCATTTTCTTTGATTACTGGTTTTTTTTATTTTCACTATTTGAACTGTTTTTATTTCATTTTATTGTTTTATAGCTGTAACTTTTACCCACTGATGCAATATTCCTGCCGTAAAAACTTTAACTCACAGTGGGAGCTTATTATCCATGTACATTAAACACCATGAACGAAGCATGTGATCTGTAACTGTGCTAGGCTTGAATTTTTTTATTCAATTAGTTCTTCAAATAAGCATTCATGCAGTTTTCAAAAATGCATTTTAGAACACAAAAATATATCAAGCACTAGAACAGAATGTCCTAAAACTACTGTTATTTAGCTGGTTTTCTAACTAAGTTATAAACAGGTTAAAACATTTAGTTAGCTGCTCGTAGCTCAAGAACAACCATAAAACCACAGAGAAGTAACCATAATATGCCCCTTGCAAAAGCAAAAGAGCTCTTTCTATTTATTATAAGTATAAATAAGATCATGTAATTTTGATAAATTTCTTCAAATCTCAGATAGATAGGATAAACTTCACTTGTGGGTTAAACAATCTTATTTATATCTCAGCCGATCTAGAAGATAAGTAAGTTTTAATCTTATATTCTGCCCTATCGTTCATGTTTCTGATTGGTTGGAAACTCTGAAACCCACATAAGGGAAGAAAGAAAACCTAAAAACAACAATTCAAAGGGGAAATGCATTATGTGACATAGAGGTGAAGATTAAGAAATTTAAATATTTACTTTTGAAATTAATTACTTAAAACTTTGCATTATAATCTATGTTTCAATGCCACATTTATTAAAATACATAAAGTTATTTCATTAAATTTTGAAAGTAACTTTGCAAAAGGACATGATATGCAAACTTTGACCAAGACTAGTGCATAGGGTTAATGGGTTTAAACTGGCTGCAAGAAATTATGTAAATTTTTGTTTATACTGACATTAATTCTTTCAAAGAACATTAATTCTATGACATCCTTCTAAAGATGAAAGACAGTAGGTTTTAATTAAGTTGTCCTTTCTAATCTGAGCTACTTCTATACGTTAGTTCCCCCATGACAAACTTTACAAGTGTTACTCTATGTCAGTCAATCTGAGCTACTTCTATACATTAGTTCCCCCATGACTATCTTTACAAGTGTTACTATATGTCAGTCATGTGCCATCACATGACCCATGACTAACTTTACAAGTGTTACTCTATGTCGGTCATGTGCCATCACATGAATTTCAATATTTGCACACAACTCCTGCTCTTGAAATCCTTTCATTACAAATCCTACAGTCATTAATGGTTTCAGTGAACAGTTCATTTCTGAAATGTTTTGCCACCAATAAGCTCTTTAGGCAAATTCATCTTGGACTTCAGCATTTTACTTCTGGCAATAACATACCTCTCATGGAAAACATCCTCTACAACTTGAGAATCCAGTATTCATACTTCTAAGAGGTAAAAGAAAACACACTTCCATCATTTTATTAATTTTGTAATGATCTCTCAACATTATATTTGGCAAGTTACTCAATGATAATCCATCTAATGCCCAGTACATTTTCAGAGTAGGAAGACATACAATACCCATAGCAACTGTTACTCAGACATATGCATTCATCTCATCAACTGTTATTGGTTCCCATTTCATCTTGTGTTTTACAGGATTGTCATGCCTTACATGCTCAACATAGTTGTTAGTTTCATCTACAATGAAAGGAAACACATCAACCAAGAAAAAAAGAGATTGAAATAGCCAATAGCATCCATTTCAACAATTTGATCACTTCTAAAGTTACAAGCTGGACCACAATTTGTATCATCAAAACCATACAGCATGTCTTCCATGAAGTCATATTTTTTGCCAGTGTGGGTCTATTGGATCACTATTAAACAGAACAGGTTGCACACAACTGTGCAGCATAGCAGGCTGTCAAGCCTTGCCACACCCCCTTCCTCTAGCATTAGCATTCAGACTATTGGGCCTCCTAGCCATAACCATTCCATTGATATCATCATTATCACTGTCATCTAAAGAGGATGTTGCCTTGTAGATAGGGCTATTTGAATTTGAATGACTGGAAACATGCACAGCTCCATCATCAGATTGTTCATCAACATAACTGTCACTATCAGAATTGCAATCATTGTCAACCTCTCAGGCATCATCATCATCAAAATATAAAGTAACTACATCATCATCGACATCATGATTGTCACTTTCTGATTCATTCAAAAAAATCATCCGTATCTTCTGCAGAGCTATATCGATTGTTATCACCATTAAAAAGTGTATCAAGTACGACACCAGTGTTCATATAACATCTTGGGAACTTTGTAGCTGATAGCTACTAGAAAACAAGGGAACTTTGCACTTGATAGATACCAGAAAACAAGGGAACTTTGTAGCTTGATAGATACCAGAAAATTTTCTGGTAGCTATCAGCTACAAAGTTCCCTTGTTTTCTGGTAGCTATCAGCTACAAAGTTCCCTTGTTTTCTGGTATCTATCAGCTACAAAGTTCCCTTGTTTTCTGGTATCTATCAGCTACAAAGTTCCCTTGCAAGGGAACTTTGCAGCTGATAGCTACCACAAAACAAGGGGACTTTGGAGCTAATAACTAACTTTGGGAGAATTTTGAAGCCTATAACTACTTGAAATTAAGGGGGGGGGGCACTTTGGTTTTAGTCCTTCGTAGTTAATTATAAAATTACACAATGGGCTGTCTGTGCTGTGTCCACCACGAGTATTGACACCCAGCACTTAGCATTGTAAAGACATACTGCTGAGTCACTGGAGGGGAAGGGGGTTACTACAAACACTATAAAAGGTGGAGTTCAAGGCTTGGAGCCGTTTACATACTGGTGGAAAGCCATCATTTAAACTGATTTTATTTTTAACGTGGTCAGTTGGTATCAATCTTTATGTTCTGTATCAGTCAACAATTATATTGCTCCAGAATATCCATCCTTTGATTAAAGCTCCGGTGGTTATGAAATCCAGTTCAGTAAGAATTAGAACTACAGTTACAATTTTTTTATAATTCTATGAAAAATCAATGAACCTTTCAAATTTTCTTTTAAAAAAAGGTTTAAGCAGTTTAACAGTTTCATATGGACCTTCTACAATCTGTCTGATTTAAAGATGATGTTCAGTGCTCATCAGGTCTCTGATGGCTTAATTAGGAAGGGTTCTGTATATCCTGACAATGTAGTCCTTAGATAAAGATCAAAATAGTGGTGATATTTTATTGGCTGTGAGAATATCGGATCAATCCTATTATTTTCAAATTAGTAGATTAGTGTAGATAACTGTAGTGGTGGTGCAGCCCTGACATAACAAACAAACAGGGGTAGTCCATTGTAAACTATTCAATGATCTTTTCATATGCTTTATAAAACTAACAAAATCAACAATGACATTTAAAGCAATCAAATCTAAAATATTATTATATCAGTCTATTATTAACCTTACAATAAGTTAAAAATATAGGCACTCATCCATTACTAATTTTACAATAACATTCCATAACACAGGTACTTGCCTATTATTAGTCTTACAGTCAAATTCAAAATATAAGTACTAGTCCATTATTCATCTTACAGTCAAATTCAAAATATAAGTACTAGTCCATTATTAGTCTTACAGTCAAATTCAAAATATAAGTACTAGTCCATTATTAGTCTTACAGTCAAATTCAAAATATAAGTACTAGTCCATTATTAGTCTTACAGTCAAATTCAAAATATAAGTACTAGTCTATTATTAGTCTTACAGTCAAATTCAAAATACAAGTACTAATCCATTATTAATCTTACAATCAAATCCAAAATACAGGTACTAGTCCATTACCAATTTTACAATAAAATCCAAAATATAAGTACTAGTCCATTATTAATCTTACAAGGAGTCCAGAATTTACAAAAGCACTAGGAAGAGCCAATAATCCTGGTCCAGTGTTTCCTTTCAAAAGGTGCATTAGTGTCTGAGAATTCCTAATAAAATACAAACATTAAATTACAAATGTAGATAATGTATAATATTTAATAAACTAATACTGAAAATTCATTAATCATCTTTCAAAACGTTGTTTACACAAGTTATGAACATAAGTGGTGACAGAAATTATAAAAAAAAGGATCTGTGTGACATAAAAACCTGTTTTCTAAACCAAATGTACAAAACAGAGTAAATACATGTATATGTATATCTAAAACACTAGTAACTTGTATATGTGTACAGTAACTATCATTGATAGATGTGCACATGTGCACACAGTACAAGGTTCATAAATTAAATTTACTTGCCAAACATATGTGTGTATGTGTCGAAAGGTTGCAGGTGTTTGTGTGAAAGCAAAAACACTGGTTAAAGTATCTAGTGTTTGTCAAGGACTCGTAAATAAAATTACTCATTGTGTATGTGTGTGTGTGTGCTAATCACCAAGATCATTTCTCTCAAACTGTACTGGAAATGATCCAAATGATTAAACCTGGAGACAGCTAAAAATCCAAGCATGAGTATTAACATTTAAAACTTCAGCCAAACCAAATATTAATGTTTCAACAGATCCAACTCAAAGATTTCATTCAGCACCAATATAAAACAATCCACACATAAATAGTAACAATATTCATCAGTTGAGTTATGAAGACTAACACAAGATGTGCATCCTTGTAGCACAGGAAGCATTTATATAATCATAGAGAACTACAATGTCATTCCATGCTGCATCAAGGAACTGGGGGGGTATCCTTCATAAAAGCTAATACCTTACAACAGGTAATCTATAAATATTGATCCCTTACAACAGGTAATCTATTACAAATAATACCTTACAACAGGTAATCTATTACAAATAATACCTTTCAACAGGTAGTCTATAAAAGCTAATACCTTACAACAGGTAATCTATAAAAATTGATCCCTTACAACAGGTAATCTATTACAAATAATACCTTACAACAGGTAATCTACAACAACAAATACCTTATAGTAGGTAATCTATAAAAATTGATCCCTTACAACAGGTTATCTACAACAACAAATACCTTATAGTAGGTAATCTATAAAAATTGATCCCTTACAACAGGTTATCTACAACAACAAATACCTTATAGCAGGTAATCTATTACAAATAATACCTTACAACAGGTTATCTACAACAACAAATACCTTATAGCAGGTAATCTATTACAAATAATACCTTACAACAGGTTATCTA